AAACATCAATGATAAAAAGAAGCAGCTAATGAAAAAAATAGCATTATATGATGAAAATAAGATAAACAGTTATGACCTCTTTGAATCTTCAATATAAATACATTTCTATCAGTTATGACTTCAGAAGATGGAGCATTTCTTCACCAGCAAAATCCATTTTTATAGTACTGTTATACTTGTTATATATACAAGAAAGCTATATTGATGTTACATAATGAGAAAACGTTTTTCAAATCCATTTGTATATGGATTTCTCTTATTTTCCTGTTCTGGTTGAAATTATTTTGTTGATCTAGCCAAAATACTACCTTAAGCAAAAGAAAAAACATATAAAAGAGCAGCATCCATCAGTTGCAACTTGGTATACAGTTGGTACGTTCTCTGAAAACAAATGTATTTTTCTTATTTTGTAGATGGTATTTAATTAGATAATCACTAAGTCTCTTTACAATTTTTCTACAATGTATAAAATAATGACTCAAAACGTGGGGTATATATATATATATGCCTGCATATTTTTTGCTACTTAAGGAGTTACTGCTTGAGAAAAACCATTATGAGCAGATTCCACTAAAAATATTAAGTGAAGGAACAATGATAAGTTTTATCTGGTTGTCCTTAATATATGAGTTCATTAGATAGTGCTCAATGCACTGATAAGCACTGTAGAACATTTAATCATAATAAAAGGAATTTTACAATTGAAAGGTAATATACATCTGTATACCAGATGAGAGTAAAAATACATGGGGTTTTTTTTTCTGCTAAGTGGATAATTCAGTCAGCTTAGAAAATTCTCCTGCTATTGAAATACTTCCCAAAGTCAGGATAGGCCATTTTCCCCCTTCCATGTAGATTCTCTTGTAGGCATAGATGGCCTTCATAAAGTCCCTGACAAAAATTCTAGAAACTTTCCCATTTTCTGAGTAATAGAAACAACTTTTTTGTCCCATTACAAAATTATTTTCTAAGTGAAAAGATATAATTTAGAACAGTCAAGCACAACACCACCAAGCACACCACCATGATTTCATATAATCTAGCTTTGGTAATTTCAGAATTCAGCTCCTATTATTCTGTAACCTGGTTAATATTTTAGACTTAGTGCATATTGAAAATTAAACAGGCCTTAATTTGACTTTAAGCAGACCAATTTTGTTGCAGACAAAACTGGATGGCTATTTAATAGGTTTTCTATTACTTTTGAGGTTTTTGCAGAATATAAAATACTACAACTTCATTTCCATATTTGGAGAATTTGGGGATGACTGAGTAGTAAGATGGACATAATTTATTAAATTGATGTAATAATAATTCAGAGGTTTTTAAAACTAGTTGCAGAAGCATCAAAAACATACTACTAATCTACTATTACTTATTCTTCTGTATCAGAGTTTCTTAAAGTGTGGTCTGAGGACCCTGGGGAATTGTCCTAACACTCTCTCTGAGTCCATGAACTCAAAATTTGCCAGATATTAAAAATATTGGGAAAAAATGTAATGTCATGTTTTACTTATTTTTGTCATGTTTTACTTATTTTTGTTAAAAATATTTTGCTAAAAATATTTATGTTACTATCCAATGCATTAATATTATTTTTACATGATTTAATAAATATTGTATAAATTTGTCCAGTTTTAATTTTTAATATAGTAAATAGTGATAAATATGTATGACCCATTTAAGCAAAAGCTTTTTTTGGAGTCCTCCATAATTTTTAAAAATGGGAAGAGGTTCTGAGAGCAAAACGTCTCAAAAACTGTTCTATATGGCTTCTACTTACTCTAAATGATTACATTCAAATATATAGCACAATGATATTTGTAACTGTTTCTTGCAAGGTAATCTGTCATTGCTTCTTCTGTTCCCTTTAACAGAGACCTGAAATAAATACTGTGGAAATTCCTCTTATCTCAGTGCCAGATGGAGGCATCTTTAGTCCTATTTCATTGAGGAAGGCAGAGGAGCTTTCAATAGAGAAGGACATTACAGAAATAGAGAAATAGTACTTGGAAGAAGAGAAGGAAGAGAATTTCTCCTTTTTCTCCAAATTTGGCAGTGTTGTTCTTTCCTTTGGCCTACTGGAGGAGTGTCCATACTGGGCATCTATACGATCTGTGTACTAGGAGTTGAAATCCACAAGTCTTAAAAGTTGCAAAAGTTGGATATCCCTGACCTACATTTAGTGGTACTGAGGATATAGAGGCAACACCAGGATGAAGGAAGAATGCACATAGAAACATAGAAAATTGACAATAGAAAAACAGCCAGTGATCCATTGAGCTTATCCATTGAGGTTTTTTTTTTGTTTTCAATTTATTATTTATTTTTATTTAATTTTAATTTTTTGTTGGATGAAAGACACGTGTTTGTCCCAAGCATTTTTAAACTCAGTTTCTGAAGATTGACCCATTACCTCTGCTGGAAGTTGGTTTCAAGCTTCCATGACTCTTTTTGTGAGATAATACTTTCAAACATTACTTTTAACCTTCCTGTCAATTTGAAGTTATTCCCCGTGCTCCTGATTTTTGCTTAATATTGAAAATATGCCTTCTAGGACCTTATTCACACCTTAATATATTTAAAGATTTTAATCATGCCCTCCCCTTACCTTCTGTCCTCCAGATTGCACATATTCAGTTCCTTCAATCTTTCCTGTTATGTTGTCCCTCAGACTTTGCACCATTTTTATTTGCCCATGTATGGACTCGCTCAATCTTATCAATATTTTTTTTAAAGTGAGATCTCCAGAACTGGACACAATATTCCAAATGGGGTCTGACTAAAGCCTTATATAGCAGGATTAGGACCTCCTTTTTCCTGCTGGTCATCCCTCTAGTGATGCATCCCAGACTTTTGTTTGCCTTCAGTTGCCTGGCCACATTGTTTACTCATTTGCAATCATCTGCTATGAGCACACCTAAATCTTTTTCTTCTGTTGTTCTAACATTGTAGCCCCGATACTGTACTCTGCACAATACTGCACTGTGATGTAATATTATTATTACATGGACATTCTTAAAGGAGAAAGAGGACCCCTGTTATTTATTATCTGTACTCTGTTAGAAGTAAGTCTTCATCCTGGTTCATCCAAGCCGGGAATAAATAAGCAAACATGGCGACTGCTTTGGGAAGAAGGTTACAGTTTATTGCAGAAGATGGTCCTTGCAAGAAGGAGCAGAGGAGAAGAAAGAGAGTGAGCACATGGGTAGAAGGCTTTTTATACCCCCTCTAGCCCTGTTTGGAATAGTTTCCTGTTCCTGTGGCATGAACTTTGAGGCTATTTCTGAGTGCTTTTCTAGGCCTTGATATCTGTGGTTTAATCCTATTATCATATCCTGCTTCCCAGGTGATGGGGCTAATGACTCCTAGAGTTTGGGTGGGGCATGCAGATTTTCTCTTTGTCTTCTTGATTGCTCTGGCTTCAACTTTCTGATGGTTTTAATCTGCATCTGTATGGGGCTTGGTCTTGCTTGGGGCAGAGAGATTTGGAGCCAAAGTTGGTTTCTGCTTTTTAAAATACTTTTGAGGAAATATATTTTTCTGCCCTTTTAATATTTCCTTCTCTGGGGCTCTGACTTCCCACAACTCACAGCAAATGCAAGTTAGCTAGAGCAAAGAAGTCTGCCGGACAGGACATCTGTGATTTATGGAGAAGGAAGATGGGTCTGAACAGTGAGAAACACCCTCCCTTTTTTTTTTTTTCATGTGAAACATCCTGACCAAAAGTAGAAAGGCTAAGTACTGTACTGAACATACATTCCTGATGGTTTTTTTGAGGGCTGGATTCCTCCTGATTTTATCTTAGCACATTGTGCAAGTACAGCCTTTCTCATAGTAAAGTTAACCTCATTTTAAACCCACTCGTTGGCCCCCTTAAGTCACGCACGGTTCCTTGAGGGGAGAACAACAAAAGCACCCGGCACCCCCTCTCAAAGTGACGCCAGCAGGCGGCTTCACGCCCATTCCTCGTTTTAAAACTACCGGTTACTTTCACTTTCTAAGAAGCCACTTCCGGGGAGGCCGTTTCGCGGCTTCCGACTCCCCCCCCCGACATTTTTGGCGAGGCGCTTCCTCTTTCCCTCCTCCCCCCCGACATTTTTGGGGAGGCGCTTCCCCAGACGTTGCGCGAGAACGGGGGGGGAGGGGCAGGGATAGCGCGCGGGGCGGGCGGAGGGCGCGAGAAGGTATCGGGCAGCAGATCCAGGGCGGGCGAGTCGCCAAAGGGGGGGGCTGGCTGGCAGCGGAGGCGGCTGGAATCCACCAATGAGCGGCGCAGCTTAGCAGCGGCGGCGGCGGCGGAGGGGGGGGGAGGCCGTCCCGAAGGCCTGCAAGAAGGTTCCGTGACCCGCCTCTCTTCCTTTCGGACTCGTCGCGAAGTGCCCTTCTGGGCTTCCCCGGGCAGAGCGGGGAGGGGCGTTAGGGCTCTCCGCCTGTCTGCCCTCCCGGGCGTTGCTGCTCTCGCCGGAGGAGGCCGGAGGGTGGGTGCGCCTGGTGCCCTGGGAGATGGGGCCGGGGGAGGGCCGTCGCCTGCAGCGGAGCAGATCCTCGTCCTTTCCCCCCCACATTTTGGCTTTAAAGATGGCTTTTGCTGGCGGTCGTTTCTCTTGAGGGCGCCTGTATAAAGGTGGGGAGAACCTTGGCGGAGTATTCCCCAGCGTTCCTTTATTTGCCTTTTCGGCTCATGCGAGCCTGTTTTGAAATAAAACGGCTGCACCAGCCAAGCGGAAATGCATTAAATGCAGTGTTCCATTTTAAGGCATGTGGACTTCAACTCCCAGAATTCCACAGCCAGCGTTGCTGGCTGTGGAATTCTGGGAGTTGAAGTCCACATGCCTTAAAATGGTCAAGGTTGAGAAACACTGCATTCAAACTTGCCTTTTTCTTTTTTTTCTTTTCCTTCCCTCCCTCCCCTTTTTAAGGTCCAGGTCATTTAGCCCCGATGCAGCCGAGCAGGAGACGCAAAATCGAGTGGGACGGCTTAGCTGGGAGCTCACCTGCGAAATTCTGCAAGAGCACCGAAGCGCCGGCCCGGGTCCCTGCTCGCCCGAGGCCCGGCTGCAGCGGGCCGGCTGCCTTGGGGAAGCCTCGAGTCTTCGCCTCGGCGTCTTCGTGCAGGGCATTCTCCCGCACTTCATTCGCCGCCGAGGCTTCTTCCTCTGATGAATTTGAAGTAGACGATGACCTCAGCGGTGGGCAAGACGCTCCTGTCTTCTTCAGCTTTCTTCCAAAGCCGGCCGCTTCCAAGATGCCTACGAAAAATATGGCATTTTCCTCTCAGGAATCTCTGAAACTGAAGGTATGTAAGCAGCAGCCAAAACTGCTGAGTAAAAAATTCCCTGCGGAGGGAATTAAAATATAGATTGCTGTTGAGTCTTAGATGTTTTTATTACTTTGCAGTTGTTTGTCAGACAGTGTTGCTTTGTAAGGGTTTAACGATGGATGGCCTCCAAATCCTGTCTTTGACTTAAAATATATTATATGCTGTGTTCTGATAACCTTCATTTCCTTTGGAGAATAATTCAATTTTTTTATCCAGTCATTCGTTTTTTGTTTTGTAAGTTTTTGAAGTATTTGTAATTAACGTCAGTTACGTTGCCCTCTCTCGTTTAGCCTTCAAAAATATATATTTTTTAATTATATAACCTGGATATTTTTTTTTTGTTTTCCTACAGTCTTTAATAAATATCAAATTATTTTTTTATGAGTTCACGCTTCTAGGAATTTTGTTCCAACCAGCAGAAACATTTAACTTAACTAAAGTTTGATAGCTTATGTTATCATCTAAACTATTTTGTTCTGGTTACAGTCCTTGTAGTAAGGAATTATAAACATAAGAACAAATGTTGACCTGCAGTTTTGGTTTTAAGAGTAGATTGCCAGGAGCCCTGATGACACGGCAAGTTTCAAATTCTGGCAGGATTAGTCCTGATGGTGTAAGGAGCCAAGTAAGAGGAAAAAGCATTTTTGTTTCGCCATATAATTTATGGCCTGTAATCAAGAATTCCTTCAAATCTCAATATTGCTGATGAACATGGCTATTCCTACCTAACCTAGTGTGGGCTGAATAGTCTTGTGAGTGGGCTTTTACTTACAATTTATTAAGCATACCTTACTCTTTACTATTTAGATCAAGCAAGAAGATTGCAGTGATACAAGAATAAACATTGCAGCAGTCCCTGAAAGAAAAAGTGCTTTAAAAGAAAAGCGGGCTGAATGTGGCCGGAAAAGAATAAAAGGCCAAGATCAGGATGAGGGATCTCGATTAATATATCGTAAAGCTCTGCTGAGTGTACTTGGGGGACAATTGCAAGCCCAAAGAAAACTTTCATCTCTAAATGGAATTCATAAGGAAAGCCCTTCTAAAAAAGAGGAACTTGGATCAATTAACAACCTGAGACAATTTTCAGTAGTATCAGAAATTAGAGAGCAACAAACTGGAAACAAATCACATTTTTTGAAAACTGCACCAAAGGAACGTATTAATATTTCTGTTAAGCAAGGCAATAAAGAATCATGTTGGTCAGATGGCAGTTCAAGACATGTATCTGTAATGTCAAGTTCAGAAGAAAAAGAACAAGAATCCAACATTCAGAAAGTTTCTTCGAAATCAGAAAACTCTGCAGAATTGTCATTTGGGAAAAAATCAGAACTTCAACAGGACTCCAACTTCAAAAAAGCTACTGCAAAAAAAGAAAATAAAACTTTGAAGTACAGTACAAAAGAGATTTCTAAACCAGCTGGTTTAACACTAATTTCTATTGTATCAAGACCAGAACGTGAAACAGATTTTCAGAAGGATCCCAGCATTGAGAAAACTGTTACAAAAACAAATAATAAAACCGTGTATAGTGTTAAAGAAGTTTCCAAACCAAGGCATGGTTCAAAACATAGACATAAACAATCAAAATCTGAATATGAGTTGGAATTTCAACAGGTTTCCAGCTTTAAGAAGGCTGTTAAAGAAACAGAAGACAAAAATTCTAAGTATAGCATAAGAGAACCTTCCAAACTGTTGGTTAGATCAAAGCAAAGTCATCGACTGTCAAGACTTGAGGATGAACTTGATGTGCAAGAAGATTCCAGTGTTGAAAAAGCTTCTACAAAAAAAGAAAATAAAACTAAGGGTAACACGAGAGAATTTTCCAAACCGATGGTTATTTCCAAATATGTTCACATAGAATCAAGTTATGAAGATGAAGTAGAACTTTATCAGGGATCAGAGGACTCACAGGTTTCAGTAAAAGAAAAAATAGATGTTGGGCAGAGTAAAACTTGGAAAGAAAATTGCCACTCAGAGCACAAATTTAAAAGCATGTCTAGCTGTTCACAAATTGGAGAACAAAAAGATAGGCAAGTCTCTCCTAAACAGCTAAGTAAAACCTCTGATGGGAATATTTTTGCCAGCCAAAGTAAAAAAAAATATTGGAAATCAGAAACCCACTTGAGAAGCATATCTGAAAATTCAAAATATGAAGCTGAAGAGACCAAGCAGAATAGCAACAATCAGAAAGCTCTTATAAAAGGCGTTAGTACTTCTGCAAAACAAAAAAACATAGCAAAAGACAAATTCATTTCCTCCACTTCATCTAATACACAAAGTGATGCCACAGAGAAGTTTGTGAATTTCCAGACAACTGTTACTGTTGAATCCTCTCAATCAGTGTTTATGGATGATTCGGAAACAGATCAAAAGGTAAAATTTAATTATTAAATAGTATTAATGTCACTATTTTGATCAAACCTAAGAAACCTAAACTGAATAAAAACACATTTACAACTTAGTCTGGAAATGTGCTAAAATGCCCTCAGATTTTCATTATTGCATAGGTAGTGCAAGAATAATAGACTTAAGTATCAAGAGAGCCGCTTTAGTTGACAAAATATTTAGGGATTCTAATTACGTAGACTTTTAGAAATGGCACCATTGTGGGAGATTTAAGTGGTAGACGGAAATATGATTCCAGATACACAGAAGATCTATATTTTTTACTGAAATGTTATTTCTGTATTTGACAAACATTCACAAATTAGCTTAATTTTGAGACTATATTAACTTTTCTGTGGGGTATTCAAATTGCATGATTTTTAAGAATTTCTGATAATGTTATTAAGAATACATATATTTTAGTCAGATGTCCTTAGGAGACCTAAATTATGCAGAATGAGTTACACTTAATTAATCATATTACTTCTAATTATTTGCTAAATGACATAAATTATCTGGCTTTAGATGTGATTTTTTTTTATTTCTTTACTACAGCAATTTTAACTCCTTTTTTACTATGATAATAGTCATATCTTCCTTATAGAACTGTGGCATGCCTAATAAAGAGAGTAGTGTTCAAAATAAACTGCTTGGAACAGCTGGTTTTAGATGCTTAGTGTATATCAGCAGTTCAGGTGAGAGAGGGAAAGGAGGGCAATGGGAAAATTGTATTGGCCTGCTGGTAGTTTGTGTTGCACTGGGACATGTTGGAAATGTTAGGGACAATCTGGTCAATTGGATATACTGCACTAGAAGTGACCTAGGTGTCATTTTAAATATTCTTATAGAAAAAAATGGACTTCTGAATAAATCTCATCATTTTTATGCTCATGTTAAATTGATTCCCTCCCCCCCCCTTTTTTTTTTCTTCTTCAGTGTATGGAGCCCAAGAAAGAACTTTCAGCTGAAAATAGTTTGTCTGACACAGAAGATGGAGGACCACTGGTTACTTTTTCACAAGAAGATTCCATCCCTAACCACAGTCTTTCAGAACCAATGGAAATGTCATTGTCAACAACGGAATTTGTGATGTATCCTCCTCATTTATACAGTCAGAAAATGAATGATTATGCAAAATACTGGACAAGCAGTCCAAAGCCAACACATTCTTTTTCAAGCCCCACTGAAAACACTTCATATTCCAATAATCTCTGTGATATTTCTTTAGAAAGACCAATAAATACATCAAAGGATAAAAAACCTTCAGTGCAAAGTATGCAAGAGAGAGAGTGGTCACATGGTTCGTTATTGGACTATAAAGAGAAAAAAAGGCACCATAGTATGGAAATAGGAACATATATTCCTATCTTCTCTTCATCACGCAAGTCAGATTCTTTCATTAATAATTGTGTAAACCAGGATTTGCCAAGGAGATTGCCCAGATATTTAGAAGAAGGGTTTATTGACACACACTGCCATTTGGACATGTTATATTCAAAAACAGGTTTCAGAGGCACTTTTTCTGAATTTAGGGAAATGCATAGTAGCACTTTTCCTAAAGAATTTCAGGGCTGTATAGCTGACTTTTGTGACCCTCGTACTTTAAAAAACAACTTATGGGAAGATTTATTAGAAGAAGACATGGTTTGGGGGGCATTTGGCTGCCATCCACACTTCGCTCGTTATTACACAGAAGTTCATGAAAGAAATCTTTTGCAGGCAATGAGACACCCCAAAGCGATTGCCTTTGGCGAAATAGGACTGGATTACTCTCATAAATGTAGTACAGAAATTTCAAAGCAGCATAAGGTAAGTTTTTATATTAAAAATTTGTGTTAAAATACTTTATAATTCTATAGTACTAAACAGTAATTGCATTGATTAACTGGCTTTAGGTAAAATACGCTGTCAGACCATTGAAGATGATGATGGTTTTGATAAACGAGTGGTGGATTGCAGAAGTGTCCGAAAAGTTTTGAACTCGAATGCCAAATTTTGAAATGAAGTTGCTCTGCTTCGAATTCAAAGCAACTGTTTTGGCCTTGCTGGAAGTGTCCGACAATATTCAGAACTTAAATGGCCCCAGTTACAGCTCAAAGAACCCCAGAGCAAAAGAGCTTCTGAATTTGTAATGTTCTGACTTTACATTTGAACGTCAGAACATTACAAATTCAGAATCTTTTTTACTCGGGGGTAGGTTGTTGAATCCTTGTGACAAATTCAGAACCTTTTTTTAAACTCCAGAATGGGTTGTTGAACCATTGTGAAGTGCTGTTTCCAAAGAAATATATGCAATGCTATCCTAAAATGGTAAAAGTGATAAATAACTGAAAACAGTCCAGTATTTCTTGTATTTGAGTATTCATAATATGCTTTGGTTTGGTTACATTATAAAAAGCTGTGCTTAATGCAGCATATTTCCCCCATGTCTTACTTTTGTTCTCAGGGCAGTTGTAATGGCCTTTGAAGGTGTGCTGCTTTTTACTTGCTTCAGGTTTTTGAGAGGCAACTGAATCTAGCTGTTTCCTTAAAGAAGCCATTGGTCATACACTGCAGAGATGCTGATGCTGATCTGTTAGAAATCATGAAAAAATGTGTGCCAAAAGACTACAAAATACACAGGTAATTGTACTGTGTTCTTAAGTTGCACTGTTCCTTTTATTTTAAAACACCAGTAATTGAATCTTGAAGCGCTTAATCGTCTGCCTGATTAGAATATTATCATGAAATGTAGATAATGACACCTTGGGAAAAATTCTAGAACCTTAAAAGATTTCAGTTGCCAAGACCTTAGATTTATGAATAGCTAAGCCAGTGATGGCAAACCTTTTAGAGACTGAGTGCCCAAACTGCAACCCAAAACCCACTTATGCATCGTGGAGTGCCGGGTGGGTGTGGTCCATTGGCTGGGTCTGGCTGCAGTGGTAACAGCAGACTGGGTGGGACTAAAAAGTTCAATCAATCAATTCCAATTTTGCAAGATCTTTTTTTTCCCCCACGAACAGTTGAAATTGACGGATTGAACTTTTTTTTTTTTTTTGCACACGGCGGCGGAGGCCTAAAGCGAAAAGGTTTTATAAAACCCAGCTGAAGGCCTAGGACTGGGGCGACGGCACGTGTGCCCACAGAGAGGGCTCTGAGTGCCGCCTCTGGCACCCATGCCATAGGTTCGCCACCACTGAGCTGAGCAATATAATTTTTTCCTATGGACTCTTCTAACTCACAAATCAAAGCTGAAAATGAAACCATAATCTGAATGAAAGAATTCAATTTCATTGAAGTAAGATTCCATAAAATAATTGTTTCCATTCAAGATAATTTTGACATAAGGTTTTGTGGGAAAAAGAGTTTATTGTTTTTACAGAACTGTGAGAAGACATGCTAGCCCAGTGATGGCAAACATTTTAGAGACCGAGTGCCCAAACCACAATCCAAAACCCACTTATTTATCGCAAAGTGCCAGGGCTGCATCAGCATTGTGGTGCCCTCAGGGGGGATGGGGGGATGGTCCACTGGGTGGGTGTGGCCCATTGGGTGGGCATGGCTGCGGTTGTCACGGCAGACTGGGTGGGCGTGGCTGGGATGGGCGTGGCCACCTTGATGTTGGTCATGGGGGGACGCCTGTGGGGGCCGGGCAGGGTTGGGGAAGATCCAGGGGTCTCTGGCAGGTGGGGCGGTGGGCAAGAGGCCCAGCATAGATGGGGGGAGCATGCAATCCTAGCTGGGACTGGGGGGCCATGGCGCCGATGGGGATCTGGCTTTCCCTGCTCGGGGTGGGTGGTTTGGTTAAACTTTGAAGAGATTGTGGTCCTAGCATGGCAAACAGGGTGGGCAAGAAGTGCCGTGGAGGGGAGATGGGATCTCCTCTGAACATTCTGCCAGATAGTCCATGGGGCGCAGTGTTGTAAAACCAGGACTAAAAGCAAAGAAAGAACGATTCAATATTTTTGTTTTGAGTGGCCAAGAAATCCTATTAAATGCACTAGTGTATTTTGGCCAAAATATGGAAGTTTCGAAAATTGGCTATGTCAAGCACTAAAAATATATGCTTGTTCGATCCCAGGCAGTACATTTGTAGTTAAGGAAAAGAAAAAATAGTTTGTTTTTGTTAGAGGAGTGTGGAGATATAGTGTATATGTGTGTGTCTGTGTTTCTCTAATAATAATAATAAACAAAAAGGCCTTATTTAAAAACAAACAAAAAGAGATGTGGAAAATGGAGCTCATTGGCTTGTGAAAGGTTTGCCTGGAGAAAGTATGAAAGGGAATAGTTTGAATGGAGTATGCTGATATGTAAATGCCCCAGCCTGTAAAAGAAACAGTAAATTGCAGATTTTGTTGTTGTTGTGAAATGGAAAGGCAATGGCAAGTGTTTGCATGAGAAAAGTCCCATGGAGGATGTGTGAGAGAAATTCCTGGAAAAATGCATGTGAAGAGAGAGAACTATTTTGTTGAAAGATAATGGGAAAAGGGTGAAGTTTGTGTGTGTGTGTGTGTGTGCAGGTTTTTTTTAAAAAAATTCTGCCTTCTCTGTTGTCAGCTGTTATTTTTTTTTTCTCTCTGCTTTGGAAGAGCGAGAGAGGCAGAAAAGGAGGGGCGCTGTTTCTGAGTCTTTTAACATTTTTTTTTCTCTGCTTACTTTCTGCTGAGCTCTGGTCTGAGAGACAGAGAAAGGGGGGTGATGTGAAATCTAACACCTACCTTTGTAGCTTTTGCTTGCATTTTTTTAGGCGGTAGAGATAATTGTATTGTTAAATACTGGAAAAATTTGATGCCTAGTTTCAGCCTTTGCAATGGCTAGTGACTTATTTGCATAACCACATATATTTTAGTAACTCAGAATACCTCATTAAGCTTGTTTGTTTTGTGAAGTTGCTTTTTTTTTTTTGCTTTATTTTTTTATGCCTTTATGTTTGTGTGCAGGACACACTGATTTATTGATTAGTGAAAAAAGTAGAAGAATAACAGCTGAGAGAATTGAAGGAATAGCTTTGGGGGTTTTGACCCAGAAGTGGGGAGGAAAGAGGCAGCCAGTGGCATTTTTGTCAAAAATGTTAGATCCTGTCTGTTGAGGATGGCCAGATTGTGTTCAAGCGGTGGCGGTCACAGCAGTGTTAGTAAAGAAGAGCAGAAAACTGACGTTTGGGGGAGCTTTGGTGGTTAGTACTCCCCATCAAGTGAGGGCAATCTTGAACCAGAAAGCCAGCCGACGGCTGACAGACTCGAGGATTTTAAAATATGAGAGTATGCTTATGGAACAAAATGATCTAGTATTGACTACTGATGTTAGTTTGAATCTAGCTCAATTTTTAAGTTAGAAGAAGGAACGGATATTGAACATTATTGTATTGAAGTAATTGAATTACAGACAAGAGTTAGACCTGACTTAACAGATGTTGCTCTAGGACAGTGGTTCTCAACCTTTTTAATGCCGCGACCCCAACCGGTCGTAAGTCGAGGACTAAACTGGTCGTAAGTCGAGGACTACCCAACCAGTCGTAAGTCAAGGACTTTCCCTGCCCGGGAGTGCCGCGCATGCGTGGTTTCGCCCCCTGCGCCGGCCGAGGCGTAGCTGGCTGACCACCAGCTGGCCCAGCCCAAGGGAGGTAAGGCACCCACCGGAAAAGGGGAAAAAATGGCGGACAAAAAAAATGGTGGACAAAAAAAATGGCGGACAGCCTTGCTTGGCGACCCCCGTGAAATGGTCGATCGACCCCAAATGGGGTCCCGGCCCACAGGTTGAGAACCACTGCTCTAGGAGAAGGTGCTAATTTGTTTATAAATGGGTCCTCCAGAGTGGTAGAAGGGAAGAGGAGAAATGGATATGCAAAAGTAGAAGGAAGAGAAGAAATTTTGGTAGAAGAAGGAAAGTTGCCTTTAAGTTGGTCTGCACAGACTTGTGAATTGTATGCATTAAATCAAGCTTTAAAATTGTTGGAGAAACAGAGAGGGACTGTATACACTGTTTCAAAGTATGCTTTTGGAATAGTGCACACTTTTGGAAAGATTTGGGAAGAATGAGGGTTGATTAATAGGAAAGGGAAGGATTTAGTTCATGGGGAACTGATTACACAGGTATTGGACAATTTGATGTTGCCTGAAGCGATTGCTATAGTACGTGTGGAAGGGCATCAGAAAGGAAATTCTTTTGAAGCCCGTAGCAATAATTTAGCTGACTTGGAAGTCAAGGTGGCAGCTGCAGAAGGAATTGAATGTTTAATGTTAGGTTTAACTCCTATAGTGGAGAAACCAAGGATTAATCCAGTATTCACTATAGGTGAGGAGACACAGTTAGAGAAAGTAGGGCCAGTGAAAAGAAAAAGGAGGGATTGTGGGGAAAAAGAGTTCATTGTTTTTACAGAACTGTGAGAAGACATGCTAGCCTGTGAAGCAAATACATTGTATATATTTTAAACTCATGAGCCTAGCTTGAAGCTTGAGAATTGTACCTAGGAAGGTCTCTGCTACGCTGAAAACTGGTCCTAACCAGAATCTACTGATATGATAGCAACTTTAGAGACAACCCCTAGGGCAGGGGTAGGCAACCTTGGCTCCTTTATGACTCGTGGACTTCAACTCCCAGAATTCCTGAGCCAGCTGACTCAGGAATTCTGGGATTTGAAGTCCACAAGTCATAAAAGAGCCAAGGTTACCTACCCCTGCCCTAGGAACTAACAACCATAAAAGGTAATTTGTAAATAAGAGAAGGGGGCGATAAAATTTGAGTAGTGGGAGATGTAATCAAGGGCGGAGATAATGTATTCCCTTTAGGAGCTTTGGATAGGTTGTGACGACATGATTACAGTAGGATTACTAAGCCAATGAAGAAAAGGTGGGAGGTAAATTTGTAACGGCAATGGAGAATATAAAGAATGAATATTGTAGATTTGGTGTGTGTCCACTGTGTGCTTACATGCACAAGGAGCACCTCCTTTGCAAAGGAGTACAAATAAATTACCATTGTTTTCTCTTGGAAGCTTTGGCTTGTGAATTTTATTTCAACTAGACAACGAATCCCACAGTTCTCATACAAAAAAAGAATTACTGAAATAGCAACTACCATGCTACATAACTGTTTTGTCAAGTCTTTAATATGACCTTCCTTAATGTTTTCTTGTTACTGGTTATTCATCTGAACTGGGATGACCATTATTTTTGATCCCTTCATAGGCATTGTTTCACCGGCAGATATAGTGTCATTGAACCACTTTTAGACTACTTTCCAAATCTGACTGTTGGATTCACCGCGTTGCTGTCTTACCCATCAGCAAATGAGGCTAGAGAATCTGTTCGAAAAATCCCATTAAGTAGAATAGTGGTAGAAACAGATGCACCTTATTTCCTTCCTCGGCAGGTAAGATTGTTTTTAGAAAATATATCCATTATCTTTCACTGTTTATACTCAGTTAACATAAATAGGAAATGAGATTTTGCAATGTGTAAAAGCTGTCATTTTTCCTCTTGATTTGTAATAAAATACTTCATGGATGTGATATCTTGGAAAACCGTAACAAAAGATTGATAACAAAGATATTACAACATTACAGGCACCAAAATATTCCATTAGTTCAAAGCTTTCCGTATTCAGTAAAAACTGAATTCAGTGTATTTGTAATACTACTAAATAGAATTAAAAGTAGATTTAAATTTAATTCTGTCTTCATTGCTGTATTTTTTTTATGATATGCAAAGAAATAAAGCAGAGGAAAAACAACAACTACATAGTTTATATATTAAATGAAATTATTCCTGATCCATGGTATATTATGTATTCATTTGTGCTAATGTTACATAATTATTAAATCAATTTACTTAGTAGGAAAAAGAATTTAATACCTCAGCCAGTATTCATAGTTCAAATTTCTGAACAGTTATCCATGGAAGCATCATAGGTGGAAGAACATACTGGTAGTCCTCAGTTAAACAGAAATAGCTGCTGGAATTTGAGGATAACCGAATACTGTAAGACAGACTTCCCCAACCTTTGTGGACCAGCAGATGGAGGGAGAGGGAATGGTTCCACTCAGGCAAGCGTGTGCATGCGCACAGCTCCATTTGCCTGAGTGGGGGGCATGCACACTCACCATTTGTGGAAGTGGAGTACACCTGCACGTGCTTACTCGCTGCTCACACAAGTGGGGATGCGTGCTTTGGGCAGCCTGGTCCTGAACAGTTCACGGCCCAGTAGTGGGCCACAGCCCAGAGGTTGGGGGACCCCCTGCTGTCAGAGAAGTGAAACCCGAGGCTGAAATTGCTATCAATTGCACATTCGTATATTAATAACATAACTTTTTGGGAGAAATGAAGAAAGGCAGATGTCAATCTTTCTGCCAGTAAAAGGATATATGTAGATCTGTTAGCAATTGCATGAGTTTTTCACACGTTGCTTTACAAATTGTTAATCAAAACAACTACTTGTTTGCAGGAGTAGAAAGACATACTTTATCAATAGGGCTACATTTAGAATAAGATATAATCTTTTTTTTTTACTTGTTAAACCTATTTTCTGATTGGTGCTTGGGTAGAGAGTCGAAACCTTTGTTCTTTGTCTAAAGCTTCTTTTTTTCCTAGGTGCCAAAAAGTGTAAGCCGGTTTTCTCATCCTGGAGTAGCTCTGCACACAGTGAAAGAAATTGCCTATCTCAAAGAGGTGTCATTACCTGTCATGTTAGCTGTTCTAAGGCGAAACACCAACAAAATATATAACTTGTAAGAAGGTGCATCATAGAAGAGGGAAGAACTGAAGAGGAAATGCTTTTGTAAAGTTAATTTGATCCTTTTAAATTTATTTTGTAATGTAAGTATAGATCTGGATTTGGAATACCCTTTAATATCGTTTTTTAATTCCTCCAATTCTGTTATTTGTTCCTGCTGTTTAATGTGCCTCGGATGTTGATTTTAATTCTAAGAGCTTTGTTTTTTTAATCTTGTTAATCCTTGGGGGCACAAACTCAGTATTTTAATTTTTCAAAAAAGAAAACAGAAACAAACCTGAAGTGCTCTTAAAATTATCAAGCTAAATCTCAGTATTTCTTCTGAGCAGCAAAATCATTCAACTGCTGCAATTAAACATTACCTATTTATCTAACATATGTAGAAATAACCTCAAAGAAGTAATGAAGTGTATTTCCTGTTTCTGATCAGTTTTTTCAAACATACTAACACATTTGCTCTTTTCACAGGATAAAAGTAAATGATGAATCATTTTTTAAAGAGACACAAATATTGTTTATGAATACTTACTGAAAGTCATAGAAATTCCCTAGCTGCATTATGCTGAAGTGAAAAATACCTGCATGCATACAGGTTAATGAAACAAAGTTAAGGGAGTAAAATAAGGTATCAAGATTATTCATTAAAGACTAATTGACTTTTAATTTCTATTTGAATTTGTTTATTTTTAATCTCAGAGAGTTCTTAATTAGGGAAGTGATTATATGTTTTTATAGTTTTATGTATTACTTTGACTTTAAACAATTTATTTGTTAATAAATTATTTTTGTATCAGTATTAATCATCTCGGCAAAGCAGAAATTAATCTTGTAGTCAATAACACTGAAAAGAAACATTCCTTTGTCTTCAAAACAACTGTGTTTTATCTTTAAAATTTATTTCTGTAGATACTTTTGGTCATGTTATTAAATGTTTCCCAATGTTTGTGAAAGTAGATTTTTAAATAGTTTTTTCTCCCCCCCTTTTTGCATATATGTTCAAGGTTTGTGCTTTAAGAAGGAATGACATTATTATACTATCATCCTAAAGGAATGCAGCAAGATTAGGAACAAAATTGTTTTTTCCTTCAAGGTCCTACTTACCCCTTTGATTTGGGGATTTTGTAATAAACTAATACGCTTTCTTCTTTTGGCTCCAAAGCATGAGGCAGGTGGTATTTAGATAAATTCATTTTATAATCTTGTTTAAGAGCTATTTAGGGGGTTATTCCTTTTCTTTTCTGTCATTCTCCTCCTTCAGTATTTGCTTTTTATTTCTGGGTTTCAGCAGCTTAGGGCCTGGGTGTTTTTATACTAAACGTTAGTTACCAAATCTATAGTTACACATTCTGGAATCAGAAGGTTTATTGGATATTAAATAGCATAGTGCAATATTTAGAACAATTTAGTTAAAGAATGCCAATTTATTTTATGCAGAATCTTGTGTTCCACAATTCAGAATAACAGAATTGGAAGGAACCTTGGAGATCTTCTAGTCCAACCCCCTGCTCAGGGAGGAGACCCTATATCATTCAGACAAATGGGTACTGTTGTACTCTCATGGAGGAGCTGTTATATCAATATGTTGCTTCTAAAGGCCACTAAAAGATCTGCCAAATATCCATTAATTCACAATTTTTAGGACACAGAAGCCTAGAGTAGATACTTTACAGCATAGGTATGTTTGATGACTTTGCACTGCTTTGCTGAAGGCTTTGTTCTTAATCTAGCTTGAATTGGGTCTGGACTCTTTGTTGAGAGCCAAATTAAGGGTTTATCATGTGGAGAAATGTATTGTTCATCCCTGGTATGAAGCCTCATAAATGGGAGAAAGACAAAAAAAAAAGAAATTACATGCTCTTGTTAGAGTCTTAGGAATCAGACCTTGAAATAGGTTTGAAGCAACAACAACAACAAAAAAAGCAAAACATGATGATAATTATACAGATAGTCCTTGACTTACAGCCACAATTGGGACTGGAATCCTGGTTGTAATTCATTGTGATTACAAGTTGAGGCATCACCTTTACTATTTTTTATGGCAGCGAAGTGAATCCATTCTCCCAAAGGACCATTTTTTTTTTTTGCTATTACCAACAACAACTGATCATAAGTCGAGGACTACCTGTATTAGCAGTAGACATTGATGAAACTGTTGTTGGACAGTAATTCAAGCATTTTTACAGTGATAAGGTGATTAACCCACATAGTGTAATTAAAAATAAAAGTTCAGTTGAAGCCACAAAAATTAAATTTGTGATGTATTCTTGGTTATCCCATTGATAATGATAGAATTTTTAAGGCTGCTTTTTAGGCAATTAGTCCCATTTTTCATGTGCCTCAGAACTGTAGAAAAGAATGGACAACATGGCTGCTTTTTAGGAAATTACTCCCATTTTTCATGTGCCTCAGAACTGTAGAAAAGAATGGACATGTAGCATATAAAGGGCGCTGTAAAAATACATACCAGAAGATCTCTTATATTTTTGAAACAGTTTTTAAAATAATGGAATCATAAGTCTACTAAAAATTACTTTTATCCAGAAATAATGGCATGTTTGTATTATTATCTATTCATTTTATTATATTTAGAAGCAACCCAACTTGAGGCAAATCTGGACAGCTTACATTATTAAATAGTAAAAACAGAAAGAAAAATTGGACTTCCATCGATGATGCATGGTGAACTGAATGTTCCTGAAGGAACAGGGACATCAGTGTAACAGAGATCGTCAGCCAGATGGCAACTTCTGGCTGGCAAAGTCTGTCCAGAAAAAGGAGAGATAGTGATTTTGCCCACATCTACTCTGGATAGCTGCTCCATGTGAGTAGACTAGGATCTGCATTTTTTTGTGGTCTACTTGTGAGTTGAGCAGCTGGGAGTCAAGAAATTTCAACCAAGCTCACAGCTATAATGTCTATATAGACATAAGGTTTGCTGAGCGTCATTTCTTAATAATAATAATATAATCATAATAATAATCATAATAATAGTAAAGTTGGAAGGGACCTTGGAGATCATCTAGTCCAACCCCCTGCTCAGGCAGGAAACCCTACACCATTTCGGACAAATGGCTGTCCAGTCTCTTCTTAAAAACTTCCATTGTTGGAGCATTCACCGCTTCTGGAGGCAGGTTGTTCCACTGGTTAATTGTTCTCACTGTCAGTTTCATAAATTACTTAACTACATTTCAACTATTAGGAACCTTTGGATCAAAAAGTTTTATAGCATTCAGTGAGTGAAGGAACTAAAGATTGCAATAAAAGGAGAAGAGTACTTAAATTTGATTTACTAATACAGAATTAAAGCAAAATATTTCAACATTGGCCATATTATTTATTTATTTATTACATTTGTATGCCACCCACTCCCTACCAAGTGATTCTGGCAGCTAGATATAGAAGAATATGTGTGAATAATGGATTCAGAAGTTAAGTTTAAGAGTGTGCCATTATAGATGGTATTTAAAAGGTGTTATGGAAGAGAAACATGTTTTACTGGACAAGACAAAAGATTGATTTGAAAGATTTTAAAGTGACAGGCAACAAGAATGATATGGAAAAAGATGCTATACTGGATCCACAAATGAAAGTGGCTGATTTCTTAACAATTAAAAGGGATATACTAATAAAAACCAAAGAAGTGACTTGGGTAACTTTCCTATATTGGCTTTACAAAAGGGACCTGTTAAGGTTTTGAAGGATTTTGTGAGAAGGGACGAAGAAAAAATAAAAAACCAATATGTAGGACAGGGGTAGTCAACCTTGGCTCTTTTATGACTCGTGGACTTCAACTCCCAGAATTCCTGAGCCAGCTGTGCTGGCTCAGGAATTCTGGGAGTTGAAGTCCACGAGTCATAAAAGAGCCAAGGTTGACTACCCCTGATGTAGGACATGACCTTGGGCCAGTCATATTCTATCAGCCTAACTGACCTTGTAGGGAAAAAGGAGGAGGAAAGTGTATTGGATATATTCACCTCCTTGAGTTATTTGTTATTACTCAATATGTATGTTGTTATCTCTGGTAATCTTTAATGGAGTTTCACTGACCAGGAGTAAGCAAGGCTTTAAGGATTTGTTTATAGATAAGAGATATGGAAGGAAGATATCATTAGTTGTATTTTAAGAGAAAGTGATTAAGTTACTAAAATTGTTTATATTTGTGACGAAGGAAGTCTTTTTACTTTTCTATTTTTCTATTCTCTTTTTAAATTTATTTTAATATTTATCTTTTTAACTGTAATGTTTAATAAAATTATTTTAAGAAAAAACAGAAAAATCATGAAAACTCCTAAGCATCCAGAAGGACAAACCCAGAAAGAAAAACTGTTGGGACCTCAACAGCCACTGTACTCCCAAACCCCATAACAAAGCCATGTTTTCACGATTTTCAGAACATCATGGAGGGATTGTCGAGGAATCTGCTTTCCACGCAAAGAGTCATCTGATGTTGGTCTGTAGACCAACAGTAGACTAAAAGCAACACAGAGATAGGACTATTTAAATCAAATTCTAATCAAATCATGAAAACTCTGGACAAAAATTACAAAATCTGGCCATTTTGAGGCTATGCTAATAAACATAAAAGTCAATTCAAGCAGTGTAGCATATCCTTTTTATAATTTTTTGAGTTATAATTTGTTTTGGACACAAATAGTATTATTTTGTAGATTCACGACAAAATAAGTGATGAACTGCACAATCTCTTAGGTGTGGGTGTTAGGAATTCTTGCTTCTTGCCTGAATCTCAGGTTAAAAGCTAGAAAGAGCTCTTCCATGTAGAAAACTTTGTATCCAAGCTTCAGTAGCAAAGGCACAATACCACAATTGCAAATATGTGAAATTGCAAAGAGAAAAGTATTCCTGTCATGCTGTGGCTGGCCTTTGCACTGCTCGATTTCCCCATTCCTGTCTGTCAGTGAGAAGTGTTCTAAAGTTGCAACTGAGAATGAACGTCTCTTAATGAAAATCTAATAGAACAGGTTATACTACAGAAATTAGAATTTTTTTTCTTTGAGAAACTTCTACCAAAATATGTTAAAATGGGAAAACATTCACTATTGCTGGCAAAAAAAAAAAAAGGCCATGACTTTTATTTTGTACAAATTATTGTGGTATGTCCATTCATTTACTCTAACAATTTTCACCTGATGAGATGTTTTCGTCATTCTGTTTTTAATCTGTGGTATTTCCCACCTATTAATTTTCCTTTCCTATTGTATTTGTAAATTATTATCAAACATTTTGGATATTTAGTGCTTTACATATAGGATATACATTTCTAAAAATTAAACATATGAAACAGATACACGCTATATAAAAAGCTTTAGAAAACCCATAATCACTCACTCATCATACAGTGAGGAAAAAAATATTTGATCCCCTGCTGATTTTGTACGTTTGCCCAGTGACAAAGAAATGATCAGTCTATAATTTTAATGGTAGGTTTATTTCAACAGTGAGAGACAGAATAACAACAAAAAAATATCCAGAAAAATGCATTTCAAAACAGTTATAAATTGATTTGCATTTTAATGAGTGAAATAAGTATTTGATCCCCTATCAATCAGCCAGATTTCTGGCTCCCAGGTGTCTTTTACACAGGTATTGAGCTGAGATTAGGAGCACTCTTAAAGGAAATGCTCCTAATCGCCAAGCAGGTTGGTGAGAAGGTGATAACAATTGGTGTGATTATTCGCAAATGGAAGAAACATAAAATAACTGTCAATCTTCCTCGTTCTGGGGCTCCATGCAAGATCTCACTTTGTGGAGTTTCAATGATCATGAGAACGGTGAGGAATGAGCCCAGAACTACATGGGAGAATCTTGTCAATGATCTCAAGGCAGCTGGGACCATAGTCACCAAGAAAACAATTGGTAACACGCTACGCCGTGGACTGAAATTCTACAGCACCTGCACAGGCCCGTCTGAAGTTTGCCAATGAACATCTGAATGATTCAGAGAACTGGGTGAAAGTGTTCAGATGAGACCAAAATTGAGCTCTTTGGCATCAACTCGCCGTTTTTGGAGAAGGAGGAATGTTGCCTATGACCCCAAGAACACCATCCCCTGTCAAACATGGAGGTGGAAACATTAAGCTTTGGGGGTGTTTTTCTGCTAAGGGGACAGGACTTCACCACATCAAAGGGACAATGGACGGGGCCATGTACTGTCAAATCTTGGGTGAGAACCTCCTTCCCTCAGCCAGGGCATTGAAAATGGGTCATGGATGGGTATTCCAGCATGGCAATGACTCAAAACACATGGCCAAGGCAATAAAGGAGTGGCTCAAGAAGCACATTAAGGTTCTGGAGTGGCCTAGCCAGTCTCCAGACCTTAATCCCATAGGAAATCTGGAGGGAGCTGAAGGTTCGAGTTGCCTAACGTCAGCCTTGAAACCTTAATGACTTGGAGAGGATCTGCAAAGAGGAGTGGGACAAAATTCCTCCTGAGATGTATGCAAACCTGTTGGCCAACTACAAGAAACATCTGACCTCTGTGATTGATAACAAGGGTTTTGCCAAGTACTAAGTCATGTTTTGTGAAGGGTCAAATGCCTATTTCACTCATTAAAATGCAAATCAATTTATAACTTTTTTAAAATGCAATTTTCTGGATTTTTTGCTGTTATTCTATTTCTCACTGTTAAAATAAACCAACCATTAAAATTATAGACTGATCATTTCTTTTGTCAGTGAGCAAAGGTACAAAATCAACAGGGGATCAAATATTTTTTTCCCTCACTGTAGCTTATGCTTACTTAAAACTGCAGTCCTACACTTCCCAGGGAATAACTCTTAGTGAGTAAAATGGGATTTCTGTATCAATTTATGCAGATTTGCTTTGTTCTCATAGCTCTTGATAATTGTTAATATACTGGTTCTGAAATTTGTAAGTTTAACATCTCACTGATTGTGTTTCTTCATATTGAAGATGTTTGTGTAAATAATAAGGAAGACGGCCTTGATGGAGAAATGCAAGCTCCGTTACCAAAGCAACAAATAATAAAATACAGTACCTCAAGTCCACAACAGCAGATAGTGTTCATAAATGGCTTGTAAGGATTTGTTTTTTAGTCCATCTTAAGTTAAATATTTTAGCCTTCCTGTGAAATTGATTTCTCAGTATAGTCTACCTAACAACTTTTGCAAGTCTCATTGTGCTGCACATCCTCTCCTACTTATAGTTCAGTGGATTAGGGAGATAATTCTCTGAGCTGCTATGAACACTAATTTTTATATAAATAAAAACGATATAACATCTGCTCACATAATTAGCATAAGAAAAACAATGTGTTTTGCATTCTTCTTTATTCTCGCACTACTTAAAAGCTGTGTCATTCCTCCTTACACATTGTTTCTATTTAATTACATAATTATGTTGTATCATAAGCCAAGAGCAAGCAAATCATGCATTATAAACAAAGCAGATCAATAATTTCCTATTCTATGTTAAGACAGGAGTGAAATAATCCTATGAGTCCAACTTAAATTAAGTTATTAAGTTATTAAAAAGTAATTAATAAAACATCTATTCTGAGGAACTCTTAGATTCTTTCAACGGAGAAATACTCACTGAAAGGATGCCAAAATTTTCAAGTAAAATGATGAACACTTACTGTTTAAAAAGAAAATGCACTAAAAGGAACAGTATTTTTTCATGTTGATGTTGCCTTGAAATTTAAAAGCGTAATTAAGGCAAATTATTTACAGGAGCTTTCCGTGATACCCTCTAAATGTTTTAGTTCACCTTCCTCATAATTCCCAGACAGCGCTGTAAGGAATTAGGGATGTTACAGTCCAACAAACTATTGAATACCAGATTGGTGAAGGCATTCCACAAGTTTATTGTTTTATCAAGAGAATATTCATAACAAATTAAATTTTACATAACCCATATTCAATAAACCTGGTTTACTAAGAAAAGTAGAAAAACGCTTTTTTTAAAACTGAAAATCTTCATCATGTATGTCACTGTTCGTTCTGTTGTCCTTCTGTAATGGCAGACACTGCTCCTTGGCCTTTATTCACATCACTAATGCATGCCCATTGTCCATCTACTGATTCTTTCCATAGAGTTACCTAGAAAAGACCACAAGAATGTTTATTTTAGAACTCAGTCTAGAAACAACATGAACCTTGCTCTGAATAATTTTCTTCATTAAGCGTTTTAAATTTGTTAGCTATCTATCAATATGTTTTTGCTTTTAAATTTAATTAGGTATTGCTTGATCAAGACAAGCAATTCTTGTTAGCAGAACACAGACAAGGCATCCTGCAGCTTCTTCTCCCTTACTACCCAGCACTCTCAAACTCTCCTTTGGAGAGTTTCTGAAATTAGTAGAATCCATTTTGAGAGAATAATGCAGGAAGGAAGAAATGTTGTTGCTAGACTGCTAAATATATGTTTAAAAATGTTGGATTTGTTCACACACATACACACACAGTCCTCGACTTACAGCCAACCACAATTGAGCCCAAAATCATTTCCGTTGTTAAGTGAAACATTTAAGTAGGTTTTGCCCCATTTTACAACCTTTCTTGCCACAATTGTTACGTGAATCACTGCAGTGGATAAAGTTAGTAACATGGTTGTTAAGTGAATCTGGCTTTCCCACTGATTTTGCTTGTCAAAAAGTTACAAAAGGTGATCACATGACCTTGGGACACAGCAACGTTCATAAGTGTGAACCAGTTGCCAAGCGTCTGAATTTTGATCACATGATCAAGACTGCTACAAAGGTCGTAAGCGTGAAAAAGTGATAAGTCACTTTTTTTCAGTTACGTAACTATGATCACTAAAGGATCACATGCATGTATGTGTACATATGTGTATGTGTGTACACACACAGAGAGAGATGACTAAAAGGCATGTAACAAAAGTTATGAAATGTATGAGTGATATGGAAAGATTAAAGGAAGATAATGAGTTGTTAGATTTAATTATCCCAGTGTAATAAACCAGGCACACATTTTAAACAAGCTTCCACTTTCTCACACCCTCTTCAGAAACTTCCACAGAAATTGATCTACTTCAAATATAAACAAGCTGCAACTGAGCTCTTGCTTCAGTTAAAGCCTTTGGAACTCATAAGTAAGTGAATCTAGGCCAGTGTTTCTCAACCTTGACAATTTTAAGGCATGTGGACTTCAACTCCCAGAATTCCACAGCCAGCAATGCTGGCTGTGGAATTCTGGGAGTTGAAGTCCACATGCCTTAAAATTGTCAAGGTTGAGAAACACTGATCTAGGCAATAATAGCAAAAGGCCACTTGGACTGGTGAAAGGGTTTAGATACAAGCTGCTTTAATACTTACTTTATTATCTCCTCCAGACACAGCTAGAATATTTGCAGTGATGGACCAGCTAACATGCCAGACTACATCACTGAACTTATGGAGTAATTTTGGTGACCATGAGTTTCCAGAGGCATCATCACACATCCAGATAAACACTCTGCCATCCTAGAAGAAGGCAAACAAAGCTGTCAACATTCAGCATCTCCTATGGCAGAATGATACTCACATTTTAACAAGGAAATCCTCTCACTAGAGCCACAGGGTCTATAACCCCACGACACATGGAATTGATTCAAACTGTGCTTCAAAGTTGGCAACTGCCAATCTGTAAACGTATCACACTTTTCTAATGCTAGTACTTAAAACACCATGGTGCAGGTCTCAACTGGATATACTGCTTCAGATTACAAACAGGAGGAACTGGAATTCTAAATGACTCTATCCACTCAAATAAATGGTTCCACTCAGCTCATTTTACTAAAGGCTAACTAAAAACAACCTTGCTAAAAACCAATATGCCAGAAAAGCTTAAGTTCAAAATTGCTTTTTATGTTACAATATTATTTATTTATTAAACCTACATGCCACCCATCTCATAGAAGGCAATAACAGATATCTTTATCTTCATTGGCTAAACATTAAAGTAAAATTACCTGTGAGCAGCTGGCAATAGTACTTGTTGGCAGACCTATGGAAGGAGCCCAGGCTACATCTCTAACCCAATCACTATGAGCTTCCAATTTTTGTTCTTCTTTCCATTGGCCATCTTCTTCTCTGGAAATATTGGGGGGGGGGGAGATGAAGGTTAAAAAAAAGTGGCAAAAGCCAAGATAAATATATTACGATAAAAGAAATGGCTATCTTAACAAAAATCATATTAGTACACATAAGTGTTGCAGTTAAGTTGGCCTGCTTACTTTCTGATCAAAGTATGAAATAGAGAAGAATTTCAAACAGCTCTGTTTCAAAAACTAACAGATAAGTTGTGCACCCTTTGCAAGGTAGTTATTATTTTATGTCTGCTTTGAATAACAGTTAACAGATTCTTAACAGTTACAAGATATCCTTTAGGCAATTAACTTCCAGCAAAGTATGGGAATCAAACAGAAATTCCCCCATCAAGCCTGTGTCTGAACATATCCAGGGAAAGGAAACTTACCACCATTCTGGATAACTGACCCTACTATTTCAAAATTTGTAATGTTGGAAGTTTTTCTAAAATTCAGTTGGAATCTGCCTCCGTGTGTCACACTTTCAGATATTTGAAAACAACCATCATATCACACCTCATTCTTTTTTTCTGAAGCCAAAAAGGTCCAATTCAGTTTGAAGCTACTTGTGACTATCAAGGGAGTTTTTGCTAAGTATCCTTTCAAAAAAGATCCAGAAGACCTGGTATCTGAATCACCAAAGGAAAATCAGTTCTGCTTCATAAGCATAGTTTTTTTTTCATTTAGGCACTGAGTCATAACCACCCTAGCTCAACAAATGAATGCAGAAAAACTAGGCAAAAATATAAAATAACTACTGGAGACAAACTAGGAAAGATTTTAAACTATTTAATCATTTGGCAGATGGAAGAACCAAAGAAGGTAGCTTTGTAGCAAGGACAAGCAAAAAATAAAATAAAAAACTATTACATATTTTTGAGGCCAACTTACCTCCAAATTTTGATAAGATTATCACAGCCACCTGATGCAAATCGTTTGATGTAGTTTGGTTTTTGGTTTGAAGGCTGATCTATGAGGCTTCCTGGTACAACAGCAGGTGCCCAGCTAACAGCATTGCAACCAATCTATGCAAAAATAAACCTATGTAGTTTCATCTAATTTATAGCAAAAGTAAAGACAAATTTTAACAACTATTTGTTTCATTTCTAAACACTTCTCAAGAAATCATTTTAAAGTAATCCCTCCATTATTATGTCTTGAACGATAAAAACATTCCCTCTATTTAATAGTGCATGGATGTTTATCCAATTAAGGAAAGGCTGCCTTTCCTTCCTTACCCATATAAAGTTTATTTTGACTCAGGTTATTTGAACTTGAGATTCTAGTAAAAAAAATAAAAAGACTCTACATGCTTTAAATCTTCCTACTCATTTGCCAACATAAAATGTTCAGTAAAATGACTCTATACTCACTGTATGTGCATTGCTGATTTTTTTCACTTCCCATTGTCCATCACCAGTATAGCTCAACAAAGAAATAGCCCCATCAGAGCTGCCACAAGCCAGGATCAATCCATAGTCTTGTGGTGCCCAACATACAGAATTAACTGTTGGAAAATGTAGAAACAGATTATATTATTATATGAATCACTCAACTATAAGAGGAAAATATAGAAATCTTGACTTTTCAGTCTTCATTACTTAAATGGATGAAAGCCTACTATGCTGTTGTGATTCCTCGCCAGCCAGTGGATCTGGCAGCTGAGTCTGAGGAATCAGATGAGGAGGAAGGACCTGGAGTGACATTAGAGTCAGAGGAAAGCTCTGAGGAGCTCCAAGACTTACAGTCAGATGAGGAGCCTGGCCCCTCTACTTGCGCTCAGGCTGAGACACAGCTGTGCTGGGAGCCTGAGTTGGACAGTGATGAAGAACAGTTGGGACAAATCACGGATGCACGAATACGCAGGAAAGAGAAGCGAATAGGACAGAGGAATGCAATGGGGCAGCTCCAAAGGCAAAGGAGAAGGCATTAGGAAGCCACGCCTTGGCTGAATTATAAAAGAAAAGGTATGGGAGGTGCTGGTTGCCAAAGGCAACCGTTCGTGTTGAGGATTGAGTTTCTGTGGACTGTGTTTGTTTGCCTTGGACATTGACTCAGGTCTGTGAGAATAAAAGGGGTTGTTTTTTTCTTGCAGTTCCTGCCTGTTTCTTGGAAAAGGGGTTTCTCCTTGTGGGCATAACAAGGACTCACGTAGGCTGGGATAGAACATATGCTATGGCAACAGCCTTTTTAAAAAAATAAATAAATCTGCAGCTACTAAGTATTAAAAAAATCATAATGGCAAGAACAGCACAAATGCCTCCAAGCTGGTATTTTAGTTTGCAGATAGCTGTGCTGCTTTAGCTCACAAGCAATAATATAATATTACTATATAATGTTACATCTGCAGATACTGGTGATAGAAACAAAATTAACTTTAACAGGGATGCACTTAAAAGTTGGAAGTGCCTGCACCCAAAAAAAAGATGAGAAAGCAAGAAACGAACATAATCAAAATAGGTAGATTCCTATCTGTTCCTATACCCAAATAGTTTGGAGAAGAATAGCCCTACCTGAGGAATCATGTCCTGTGTATTCATATGTCTTCTCCCATGTACCATTCTCTTCTTTCCAGATAATAACCTTTCTGTCATAGGAACAGGAAGCTAGGATGTTTCCATACATGGGGTGAGCCCAGGCAACCTGCCACACAGGGCCTTCATGCCTATCGGAAAAAAGAAATAATTACTGCATCCAGTAATTGCTTTTAGTTATGATGTTTGGAGAGCATTTTGAAACCACTTTAAAATCATGCATCATATCAAGTGGTTTATATCCTGAGAAACTACTCTGTTCTTTATTCACACATACCATCCTTCTTTATCAAAAGCTTCAAAGCAGGCGTCAGTGTATTTTTTTTAAAAAAGGAAAAAGTTGTAACATTTCCATTAGTAAAGAGGATTCACTTCTAAAGTTTAACACATCCTATCTGGAGAGTCCTTCTAAAGAACAACAGGATATAAATCAAATAAATTATTGCCTAATTGTACAGAACTCAAGGTTTACTTCTTAGTGTTTATGAGTCCAATCAATGATGTTGTAGTTAAATCACTTTTTAAATGAGATGAAGCCTAAGAAATTGGATATACAGTATATAGAATATAGCAGTGATGGCGAACCTTTTAGAGACCGAGTGCCCAAACTGCAACCTAAAACCCACTTATGCATCGTCGGGTGCCGGGTGGGTGTGGCCCATTGGCTGGGTGTGGCCCATTGGGTAGGTGTGGCTCATTGGGTGGGCGTGGCTGCGGTGGTAACGGCAGACTGGGTGGGACTAAAAAGTTCAATCAATCAATTCCAACTTTGCAAGATCTTTTTTCCCCCTGCGAGAAGTTGAAATTGACTGATTGATTGAACCTTTTTTTTTTTTTGCACACGGCGGCGGAGGCCTAAAGCGAAAAGGTTTTATAAAACCCAGCTGAAGGCCTAGGACTGGGGCGACAGCGCACGTGCCCACAGAGAGGGCTCTGAGTGCCGCCTCTGGCACCCGTGCCATAGGTTCACCACCACTGGAATATAGGATAGGCCAGATAAAAGTTGATTCACAAAAGCTGTCCAGTCGAAAATCAGATATGCAAAAAATATATTCTGGCCAAAAGCCAGCAATTTTGTCTATAACCACAACAGAAAAATGGATCATGCAACAAAGAATTATCTTGCTTTCAGCTCACCCTCTTAAATCAGCTATGAGAATTTGTCCTCCATTCCGGACATCAAATATTTTCACAGATCTGTCTGAAGAGCAGGTTGCCAATCGAGTGCCATAATAATCCATTTGAGCATCATGCTAGGAAATAATATAATAAGCCTTTAATAATCCCACAGTTTTGTTTCTATAACGATTTTTAAATCTTTGAAAATGTAATATTTGTTGTATTCATTATTCATTGTAATTTGTATAGCCACTTATCTCAAAAGTGACTAGCAGCAGCAAAAAGTCTTAAAATAAATTAAAAACAAATTCCTATCCAATACAAAAATATAAAACACACAGCAGAAGATGTCATAATCAATGGTTGTTAGCACAACCAGGAAATATATTATGTATTAGCTATTTGACATCAATGAGTGGTAGAATGCACATTTATAAAGTATTTCACTGGAAAAAAAATTATAATCAACACTTCATCTTAGCAGCTAAAATTATAAGTAGGGAACCAGAAAAACATGCTAGACACCCAAGAAGCAACCATACTGTCACAGCTCCATCTGCTAATTTTTCACTGAGAAAGCATTTTATTTGCCCTAGATACCTGGCTAGTATCACAACTGCCATCACATTTTTCAAAATCTAATAATATTCCTATAAAAATGTTACAGGAAATGATTTTTGAAAAATCTTTTTGTTTCAGTGCAAATTCCCAGATACCTATTTAATTTATAATGTCCCCCAAACTCATAATTTATGACTATAGACAGCATACCTCAATTTTGGAAAAATTAAAAATATGAAAAACTAATAACAAGGCACAATCATGGATATAGCTGAGTCCGGACTGAGAAAGTGTTTACTCTCATAGCAGAATGTGCTCAATTATGACTATATGTCCTTACCATATTATTAAGACTGGCACCTACTATTTCTAGGCATATTTCACAGTAGCAAAAGTTACGCACTGTTATACTCAAAAAATATAGCAGATGTGTCACTTGCTCCACTCACCCCTACATCTCTATATGGTATACTGTATATGCTATAATATGGTATATTAACATGTAAATGTATTTAAAATGAACAGCTTCCTTACTTGGAGTATGTTCATCATCTAATGGCACATTTTCTGGATTCAACCACTGTATCCCATTCTATCTCTCCAAACAAAGGGAAGAATTCTTAGCTTTACCATAATTTTCTTTTTCTTTCCAAGTAAAAAGTGGTTTTAGCATATATGTGTTCCTTTGAAGTTTTCTATAGTACATCAGAAAAATATTCATTCCTTGCATTATCTTACTAAAATGAATGTTGCTGTACTTATTTTGGTATAGAAATATATTCTAAAAAAAGAAAGAGACAAAATACTTACTATCATATCCTCATGGGAAGTGTCCACTGTATTAATTACAGACACCTAATAGGAAAATACAAAGAAGCTGTAATGACACTTATTGATCCTGACCTTATATTTATAATCAAGAATTAAAATATGTAGGACTTGGCCATACTGTTTACAGTAGTTTACCTACATTAACATGATTAATCTTCAGATAATTTTATAGCATCCCATATGCATTTTGACTTCTTTGTCCTCAGTTAACCTGTAGAACGTCTATGACATATTGAAACTGATGCTGGTATAAGGTAACACACAAAGCTAATATTTATGCCTGCTTTAGCTGATAGGATAGGAAAAAAAAAGTGGTGGCAAAAGATCTAGTTTTGAAAACTTGATTCTCATTCTCATACTGACCACCCTGGCCACAAAACTATGGCTATACCAGGATGTAAAAATATCTTAGACCCAGGGCAAAGCTGTTTGTGAACAGGTAGGTCTAATTTCAATAGTTTTATGGATTGTTTAAGCATATCTACTACTACTACTACAATCTGTCCTGGTTTCCAGCAAGGTCGATAAGGTTAACTGTCCAGAAAGCTGTTACAGGTAGTCCTCAACTTATGATCATTAATTTAATGACCTTTCAAAGTTACAACAGCACTGAAAAAAGTGACCTATGACCAGTTTTCACATTTCTGACCATTGCAGCATCCTTATGGTTAGGTGATCAAAGTTTGAATGCTTTGGCAACTGGCATATATTTATGACAATTGCGCTGTCCCAAGGTTGTGTGAGCACCCTTTGTAACCTTTCCAGCCAGTTTCCAGCAAGCAAATTCAGTGGGAGAAGCCAGGTTCGCTTAACAACCTTATGATACACATAACAACCTCCCTGATTTGTTTAACAAATGTTTTACAAAAAAAAATATATTGTAAAATGGGGCAATTGTCTTGTTTAGCAATGGAAATTTTGGGCCCAACTACCTGTCCAGCATTCAGCATAAATATGCCCTGATTTTTTTGGGGGGGGGGGAATTGCCTTGTTCCTGGGATGCTTCCCAACTGTCCTCCACAATATCAAATTAGGTTTGTCACCAAATCCTAGTAAATGGTCTGAATCAGAACCATTTAAGATCGGTGGATCTTTGATGTAGTCTTTTGAGAAATACCTCTTCTGTTTTCAGTTCAGTGCAAGACAACCCCTCCGAATGAAACACAAAATGAATGAAAAACAGGCGCTTGGAGGAATGGGCTTCACACATCTCTTGCAAAGCGTCCAGCAATACAGGACGGGCGCTTTCAGGGTCCCAGAGTAATGGCTTGGAACAACTGAAGGAGTCTTAGACGTGGCCGGGATCAGAGAAGAGCTGGAGTCGGGGAATGGTCCTCGACCCTCGACCCTCGCTTCGCCGTTTCCCGGGAGAAGCTCGGTGACCAGCTCAGCCGTTTAGGAACGGGCAACACGACCACCACCAGCAGCTACCACCGCACTGCTCATACTCGGAAGACCGAAAGGAGCACGCCTGTATGCTCTCAGCGAAGGGAGTCAAGCTTGACTACCAACCCCGATCCTCACCCCTCTCAATCTCACCATGGTCACGACGACGAGAGAGGAATCTCCACGGGACCAGCCCGGCTCCGCGATACGAACACCCGGCCGGCCGCTCTCAGACGTGGCAAGCAACCCGCAGCCCGGTTGTGCGTACGACAGGCAAAACCTTCCGGCTGGAAAAAAAAACCCCTCTTCCTGAGAGGCGCACAGAAGTTCCTGCTGCTGCTGCTGATTATCCTTTCTTCTTCCTTTCCTTTTCCCAGGCGAGAGGCGCTACGTGTTTCGGGATTTCTCCCTCAACCTCCGTTTTGTAACCTTTGCTGGCTGCTTTGGGAGTGGGGGCCGACTGATTTTTCTTATGAGGTTGAATTTGGATTGAGCTGAGCGGGTGCAAATCGTGGTTTATGCGTGATGTGAACAAATGTTCAGCAAGCTAAGGCTTGGTGCAGTTTGTAATCCCAGCCAGAAAACAAATCAGATTTGTTTTCCTGCCATCGGTATCAAAAGTTCTCAAATTTGATGCCACGATACTGTATTGGATCATCTTGCTCCACTGATCGGGATCATCAGTTGTTCCACTGACTGGGAATGGTGAGATTATAGTCTGACACATTTAGAGGTTGCAAGATGGATAAAGATGCACTTTTGCATAGTATTATGGAAAAATTAATAATTTCACAGGGCTGTTGAAAGGCTGAGCAGGCTAAATCATGTTTTCACTGCGAGTAAAATGCTTTCTACCCAAAACATTAAAAATGATTATGCATTTGTAGTAAAATATGTTGCGGTTATAGTATGTTATAATGCTGATATGTATTGACTATCAGTTTTCTTCAATGCTGTCAACTTTTAGATAATTTAGCAACGGGACAAAAGCTGAAAAATAATTTCATTCCATGAGTTGTACGGCATAAACATGCCTGGAGTGGACAAGGATTTTAATATTGATGCTTTCTTTTTCTTTGCTTCAGCTTGGTAGAATGAGTATTGAAATTTGAATTTGTAAATACTTCTTTTAAAAAAATAAAATGATTAACTCATGTGAAAGAATCAAGTTATAGATGAGTAATCTATGTTGCATTCAATGTGTTGATGTTGTCAATCATTAAAAAATTTCCTAACTGTAAATTGCACTGGGACAAAATATTCTGAAAGTGCTGGAAAAGAACATTCTTGTACAGGAATTATATACAGTACCTGACACCAGTAAAGAAAAATCTAGATGTCTCTAAAGTTGATGTTAGAATGCTGTGTATATCATTCCTAAAAAAAAACCAAACTGAGTGCAGTTTTGTGTCATTATCTAAAGTAATTTTAAACAGAACTCAAGCAAACTTACTTTTCAGTAGATATGCAATGACTTGTCCTGTAGTGCTGCATCTGCTCTAGACTCATTCTTGCATTCATATAACACATGGATACATAAACCACATTTCAATCTAGTATATTGCATGAATCCAGCCTGGATAGTTCAATGTATTGTACAAGTAGCTCAATTAACCAGGGAGTAAATGTCACACAATTATTATGCAGCAGTAGGAGTTCTATTAACCCTGTTACTTGGAAATAATGGAAAGTTACAAATAAAAGCCAACTGACCTACAGTAACTGTAGTTACCATTCGGTAGCCAGAACAAATTTACGGTATCATCTCAAGTTCCTGAGAGTGAAAAGCTATAGCTTTTGTAATGAGCCATTTTTTTCCCCCAAAAAATGAATGTATGCTTATCCAGCATCTATTTTAGATTTATGGTGCTGCATAGACCTCAAATTAATTTGTATGTCATTGTTCAGAATTAAAAAGTACTTTGTGAAGTAGGAACAGCTGCTCTTATACTGGAAGGGTAGATTGATGAATTTAGAGAACTTCCTACTTAAGGCAAACTGATTGACCAGCTCCGTGTCAACGTCAGCTGTCCCTGGCCAGATAGAAGTGATTCATTGCTGGCCTCTCTTTCGTTTCAGGATGATTTGCCACTTGATTGCAGTGTATCAGCAAACAACTGCAGTTCTGCTGCAGCACTGGCCAAATAGCCGTTGAAAAGGGGTGAGGAGAAAAGCAGCTGCTGCTGCCTTTCTTTCCACTTTTCTCTCCCGGAGAAAACTTGAGAGGCCTCAGATGTCTGCCAGGAGGGGGTGCCATTAGCTCAGCTACAGCTCCAACTACAGGCTATATATATACTATGATAACAGTCCAGGGGCTTAGCTTTTCCAGTGACTTCTAACCAAGGGGTGGGGGGGGGGGGAAGAGAGAGGAAAAACACTACCCTGGTCTCACTGTGCCCCTTCTGTCGCCATATTCTCCATGCAGATTTCACGTCGGCAGGGCCCCCTGATTAGGGCAGCAACAAACTTGAACTCTTGCTTGAAATCTCTACATTAAAGCAAGCCGTGTAGAAGAGATCGTCCTCCAGGACCAGCTGTTCAAGATGACCAACATATCCTATCATATCTCCAACCTCCTGGAGAAGATGACATCCACGGATAAAGATTTCAGGTAGGATTTAGGGTTTCTTGGAGGAGGGGGTGGGTGGGCTCTCTCTCTCTCTGTGTGTGTGTGTGTGTGTGTGTGCTGCAGTGCCCTGTTTGGAGGTGTGTGTTGTTTTTGTGACCTGTTTGGTGAATTGCCCACATGTGTCTGTATTTGCAAAGGAGAGGTGGGAGGGAGGCAGTTGTGGAGGAAGGGGTGATATTTTTAATAACAGCAGCTAAAAAAGGAAACCTTTATCATCAAAAAGATACTTAAGCTTAGGTAGAATTGATAGCGTACAAGAGGCAGGGCAATGGTGTGGGCTGTCTTTATAGATAAGGCAGATAGGAAATTTACTGCAGGTTTCCTCACAGGGAGGAAGGGAAAGATTGCGTTCTCCAATTTCTCATGCAGCTAATATTATGGTAACCTTTTATATCCTTCCTCCGAGATGGAGTGGAAACACACTTCATCAGCTATTACTGGCTGGTTATCTTCACTAGTTGGTTTAAAGAAAAAAGTAATCTTGGCTAATAAACTGGAAAGCTAGAGAGAGTATTGGTCACTAGGCACTGTTTTGCTGCATTGCTGAAAGAATTTATGTTGGAGTTTAATCCATTTAATTGGAAATGTTTATTCCTAAATAAGTAACAGTATGCTAAATAGTAGATGTGCTGGCATATGTTGCACATTTGGAAGGTTTTGAAATAAAAGGTGATAAAATAAAAAGTAAAATAGTGCTATCAAATAGTGCTATTAAAGTGGGTAAACTCAGAACAATTGAATATTCTTCAACCTACTGTTTTCCAGATGTTGGGGATAGAGGAGTGTAAATCCCAGAATTGGCAATCAGGAATTCTGGGAATTGCAGTCCCAACACATCTGGACAGCAGCAAGTAAAGAAGGTTGAATTAAATCATAGTACAGAAACTGATAGTTCATTGTTTCAAGATGTTAAAAGAAATTCCTTTTTGATTTCACAGCATAAAAACGGCTTACGCTGACTTAAATATAAGCACATTTGTTTCACTCTGCTTGTAGACTGAAATGTAACAAGATCACTGACTTGATAGGCACAAATGGAGGGGAGGAAGGTTGTCCCTTATTTTGAAATATAGATATGTCACTGGAAAGATAGTCAAATTCTTTTTCTTTTTTTGCAAATTTTTAATTAAGTTTATCAGGTTATAAAATTAAAAAAAAAATGAAAATAGTGGGAAAATGGGAAAAAGGGAAGGGAAAAAAGTGTAGGGTAAAGGGGGGAAAGAAAAGCATTGACTTCCAACTCTTTTTAACAAAATAGAATAGGATAATAACATAACAACCTTAACTTTTTTTTAACTTTACACACCAGTATAATATAGCCATTTCTGTAACAAATCTTATGTAATCAGCAAAAACCAAAGTCAAAGTTTCATTTTCCCCCCATCTCTAGCACAAAACCCAGAAGCAGAAAAACAGTCAAATTCTTATCAGAGAATATAAAAGCTCACTGGAATCAAAAGATTATGAGATCAGGCAGATATTACTGATTTAGTTAAAACATGTGTCCCATATTTCTTAAGTTTGTTGAACTCAGAACTTTTTTTGTACCCTAAATCGGAAATGATTGCTTTGAATAGGCAGCAAATGTGATTGAAGTAAGTTATTATCTATGATGATCTAATATACTGTATATTGTCTGTGACAAAAAGTCAGAAACATCTATTTTTATTTTTTGTAGAAATGTTTCATATTTTTAAAATCATGTTCTTATTTTATAAATCAATGTTTATAAAATCTTGTCTCTAATCACATGCTTAGTAACTATTCCATATTTTCTGAATATTGTTTTAATTATATGCTATAAGAGAAGGCAAATAGAAAAAGAAACCAAGTAATATGTAATTTATAGTAAGAAAGGATTTTAACCATATTTTATTGATGAACCCATAAAAGTAAGATAATGTAAACCTTGATTAAGGTATGCTTATAGATCATACTAAACTGAAAGTAAAGAAACCTCATTACAGTTTGGTATTATATAGGGATCAGCATGAATCATAGTGGCACAGACCAAATATTAGGAATAAACAAGCCAGATGTATCTTATGATGATTAGTCTGAGAGTGATCCACTTCATTGTAAGTTGTTAATTATTGTCTGACTTCATAGCTAATGCTATGCTATGTTTTTAACCATAGATTACCGAAGAAGTCATAGTTACCTCATTCACACATATAATTTATATTAAGCTATAAATCATGATTTACAAATCATAATGGTTGATTTCACATATCACTGAGTTAAAACATTACGGCATAGGGGTATGTTGACCCCAGGAAATGTAGCAGGCAAAGATACAGTTATAAAAGTTGAGTGTGTTAATCCCTTATCCTATACATCCCAAGGTAATTCCTTTTTTTGCAATGCAAACTCTTACTTTTCCCCATTTCATACACGTAGAGAATCTTGTCCCAGTGCTCAAGGCTGATCCCTGACATCTTCATGTTTTAATAGGTAGCTATTAATAGGTAGTATTAATAGGTAGCTTTGTCCCAACTTTATCCCAGTGAGATCCAAAACAAGATAGAGCTGCATTCAAATTTTCCTTTTACAGTATGTGCATGACAATATGGTAACAGTTTTGGAGTAGCAATTGTGGAATATTGAAATCTGCAGCCTCTGCAATTGTGTTTGAATTGTGTTTGTAGGAAAATAATATTTTGGATTCAGTAGGGTTAAGTCTTGGGTAGTCATCCCCACCCTTCCAGAATTGTTGAATTATAGTTTCTTTTGTGCTCAGTTAATATAGTTAATAACCAAGCAGGCTGGAAAAGTTTGAGAGTTTGGGTCCAATTTATCTGTAAAGGCAGCAAGCTGGAATATGATCATTTAAAAGGATGTCAATTTTAAATTCTGGGAATGTATTTAAGCGAGTTTCTGCTTTGATGTTACGCTCAGAAGATAGGCTTAGAAACAGAATAATAAAAATATTCTGTGTATGGATGCCACAACCTGAGAATGTCAGTTTTCCATTGATTTTTGCTGTTCTACGTGGTTAAGACAAAAATATGGCATGCCAAAGATGGTTATGAAAATCTACTAAGCAAAATTTGGGGGATGTGGACCATACCTGCTTAGCATGGTGAGAACTTTCCTCATGTTTGTTGATGTTTGATGTTTATTATATTTATATCCCGCCCTTCTCCTTGCGGATTCAGGGCGGCTAACAACCAGATAAAACAACTACAAAATACCAAACACTACAGTTAAAAACACAATTAAAAGACAAATATTAACAATTGGCCTAAGTAATTTAAAATTATTTTAAAACCCCCGCTAAAAATTTCCCCTAGGCCAGTCCTGCAAGCTGAAATAGCCATGTCTTAAGGGCGCGGCTGAAGGAAGGGAGATCAGGGATCACCCTGATCTCTGGGGGTAGTTCATTCCAGAGGGTGGGAGCTCCCACCGAGAAGGCCCTCCCCCTTGGGGTCGCCAGCCGGCACTGTCTGGCTGACGGCACCCTGAGGAGACCCACTCTGTGGGAGCGTACTGGCCGATGGGAGGTAATCTGCGGCAGGAGGCGGTCTCGAAGATAT